TTTCACCTACCTATCATTTTTTATTATGAGATATTTGAAACTTACCATCTCATTTTGTAATATGTAAGACATTCTTATGGACTACAGTCACCCTGGTTTGTCATAAATCTCAAAACCATGTTTTCTTCTGTTTTGCAATATTTTCTCAATGAATGTTAATTTTTAATACACTAACAACAGGATCTTCTTGTTTTTTATTTCCTTCCAACTAAACCATCATGCCAAATTTTCTCTAGTGTACACAGTGGTTAGTAAAAATAGCTAATACATGTTTACCAAAGACATGTACTAGAACATTTAAGATAGCACTACTCATAAGTGCTCCAAATGGGAAACTACTCAAATGCCTGTCCACAGTGCAATGGGATAAATAGATTGGAGTATATTCATACATTATATAAGAATGAACAAGCTAAAGTACCTGCAGCAATATGGATGAATCTCACAGAAATAACTGGAGTGAAAGAGGCCTGACACAAAAGAATAAAACTCCCTGCTTCCATTTCTATAAAAGATAAAACAAGTGGAAGCAAATCAATGCTGCTGGAAATCAGGGTAGTGGTTACTGTTGAGGTTTGGGGATAGTGCCTAGAAAGAACAAAAGTGGTCTCTGGCCACTGGACACTTTCTGTTCTTAATCCAAATGCTGATTACAAGAGAGTAATCAGTTCGTAAAAACTCAGTGAATACTACACTTTAGGAAATGTACATCTTCTGTATACAGTTAGGCTTTAATTTTAAAAGTTTAATAAACTAAATGAAAACAAAATAAGACAAAAGTTCCCATCATCACTAATCATCAGAGACATTCAAATCAAAACCACAATGAGGTATCACCTCACACCAGTCAGAATGGCTATTACTGAAAAGTCAAGGGCTGGACACGGTGGCTCACGACTGTAATCCCAGCACTTTGGGAGGCCAAATCAGACGGATCACCTGAAATCAGGAGACCAATATGGAGAAACCCCATCTTTACCCAAAATACAAAATTAGCCAAGCGTTGTGGTGCATGCCTGTAATCCTAGTTACTCAGGAGGCTGAGGCAGGGGAGAAGAATCACTTGAACCTGGGAGGCAGACACTGTGGTGAGCCAAGACCACACCATTGCACTCCAGCCTGGGCAACAAGAGTGAAACTCCATATCCAAAAAAAAAAGTCAAAAAACAACAGATGTTGGCAAGGCTGTGGAGAAAAAAGAATGCTTATATATGTTTGTGGGAATGTAAGTTGGTTCAGCCACTGTGGAAAGCAGTTTGGAGATTTCTCAAATAACTTAAAACAGAACTACCATTCAAGCCAACAATCCCATTACTGGGTATATATCCAATGGAAAACATCATTCATCAAAATGACGCATGCACTCATATGTTCATCACAGCACTGTTCACAATAATAAAGACATGGAATCAACATAGGTACCCATTAATGGTGGATTGGATGAAGAAAATGTAGTACATATATGCCATGGAATACTAGGCACCCATAAAAAATAAAAATTCATGTTCTTTGCAGCAACATGGATCCAGCTAGAGGCCATTATCTTAAGCAAATTAACACGAGAACAGAAAACCAAGTAACACGTGTTCTTACTTGTAAATGGGAGACGAACATTGGGCACTCACAGACATGAAGATGGCAATAATAGATACCAAGAATTACATGATGAGGGAGAGAGGGAAGCAAAGGTTAAAAACCTGTTGAATACTATTCTCAGTACCTCAATGATTTGTACCCCATACCTCAGCATCACACAATATACTCAGGTAACAAACTAATAGTTAACCTTTATTAAGTACTTGCTTTTTGCCAGGTGATATTTATCCATGTTATTTTTATGTGCTAACTCATTTAATCTACAGTAATGGAACCCAGAATTCTAGTACAGATAATATGATGCTGTTCTCTGGAGCACAGTATTGGTTTAAATGTTGGCTCAATTCATTTCTAGGTATTTTGTTTTCTTTTTGCTAGTTTTTGTTCTTTGGTTTTCACTTTGTTATTCCTTAGTTTATTTTTTATAAAATGAAGTCAGTAATAGTAGCTACTTCATAGATTATACAAGATTATACAAGAAGGATTATATAAGAAAATACTTATAAAGTACTTACCATAATGCCTAAAACATAGTAAGTGCTCAATAAATCCTTACTAAATTATAGTTTCTGGTTTATCTGGCCTAGAAATATGCATTTGCTGTAAACAGAAGCATTGCAAAATAGTCTGCAAGCTCTTTCACATTCATATATTAGAAACTAAATAAAAGAGAGCAATGTATCATGTTTCACACAGGAATTAATGAATGAATTTTACACTACAGAAGAATACCATCCTAGCAAGTAAAGATGGTGATTAGACAATGGTAAGAATGCATGCAGACAAATTTAAAACAACCAAAAATACACATCTGGGTCATCAGCATAAAGTTTTCTGAAAGAAAAATCAAGATAAAGGAATAAATACAATTATGCTCCTCTCCAAATCCTGACATTTGTGACACCTGTGTATTTTCACATGCACCACAGAAGTATGTTTAGTGCTGACTGCTGACTTAGAAACAGAATACCTAGATTCAAATCATGACTACTTATAGTACCTGGGAAAATCACTTCTTCCTTCCTCAGTTTTCTCACTGGCATGATAAGGATGATTTTAATAGCACTCACCTTGTAATTGAAAGTTTTAAGCAGTTAATATTTGTAAAGGACTTTGAATGCTTAGCATATAGAAAGCATTAATAGCTAGCAATAAGAGATAATAAGTTAAATATCCAACACTTACTCTGGACAAAATTATAAATTTAAAATTCTGTTCAATTTTTCCTCAATTTTCTTCAAAGTGCATCCACCCATTTCTCCCCAGAACCCAAATGCACACAACCTAGCCCTTGGCAATTTAAAGTCCTCCCTGAAAATTACTCCACCTAGACCAGGCTTCTCCCCATCAATGGATCCTCTCTTTTGAATTTTTACAAAATTTACTTGGGTTATGTTTCATTTCACTTAATGTGAAAAAAGAAAATGTAATGTGAAAAAAATGAGTGATTTTTTTTCAGATAACATTTCTGACTTTAAGGGAGCCTTCTTAATTCTGCTTTAAGTCTAGTGAAGTGACACTGTGGTGTAAACTTTCAGCACTATGTTTTGCCAACTGGTAGATGTTTTCAATCAGAAAAATATTGTCATTCTCAATCACAACAAATATATGCCTGCCACTCTACCCTGAATATTTAGGAGCTGTAAATTGCAAAATAGAAAATAATTCTCTTTTCTACTCTTTTATGTATAAATAAAGGAAAAAAAATGGAGAACTAAGAGAAGAAATATGTTATGATTCTTCTATTGGATTTTAATTTCCCCCGGGAATGTCCAGGAAGCGGCTATGAGCAAGCCATCCTCCCCTATTTTGAAAAACTCTATATTTCCCAATACTCTGCAAGCCAAGGACATAGTTCTTTCCCCAACCCTCACCTTGAATTTCCCTTATTGAGACCAGGGGCAACCACATGGTACACGTGCATATATGCACACAAGTGTGCACACTCCCATGAGTGTGCATAGGGCTACACTGCTATCTGTATTCCAGCATAGAGTATATTTCCTAAAACTGGAAAAAAAAAAAAAAAACTAGTTCTGATGACCCAAAATTCAGAATCTGAACCTCAGTGGCAGCCCTGTAATTACAAATAAGGAAATTAATTAAAAACAGGGACCAGTCTCAGTTGTAGAATCTCAAGTTTTATTGACAACACAATGTATAGGCATCACGGAAGTAAATAAAGTGAGCCATTCCTGGTGGCTCATGCCTGTAATCCCAGAATTTGGTAAGGCCGAGGCAGGAGAATTTCTTGAGGCCAGAAGTTCAAGACCAATTTGGGAAATATAGTGAGATTCTGTCTCTACAAAAAAAAATTTTTTTTAATTACCCAGGCTGGTGGCTCACACCTATAGTCTCAGCTACTCAGGAGGCTGAGGCAGAAGGATTGCTTGAGGCCAAGAGTTCAAAGCTGCAGTGAGCTGTGATTGTACCACTGCATTGCAGCCTAGGTGACAGAGTGAGACCCTGCTTCAAAAACAAATGTAAATAAAGTAATATCCCAAGCTCAGTTCAGAAGACCAGCTGCCCCTGTAGTATGCTGTTGCAACCATCTGAATGACCCACGTAACCTGCACTTGTACTTTAGTGCAAAATGGCAATGGGAGTGTAATAAGTAGATAGAAGTGAGTCTCTGACTGTAAGAAATTATTGAGTGGTGGTTAACCCTAGAGGTCCAAACCCCTGACCTTCTCCCTCCAAAGGCATCTGGCCTGGTGAACATTGACAATGGCATAGACCCATTAGGGTTTGACACGCCATACACACACGTTGGATCAGGGTGTTCCAGGCATTTTCTGGAACTGGATATTCCCCAAAAAAGCAGCATCAATACATCTGGGTAGAACCAACACCAACTTTTCCTAGAACGCTCATACCAGTCATGGAGTGGGGACGGAATGTAAACTCTTGCCATCATAAAATCACAAAAGATAAATGTGAAACATTCTAAAGATTGGTTTCAAGCTGTATTTGATGATGTAAACCTGTGCTATTCAATGACTCAGAAAGTCTCACATACAAGTGATTGTTCATGCACAAAATAGCATTTCCAAGGAAGTTGAATCTGTTGAGACTGAAGGATAGACCAGTACATTCAATACAGATCTTTCTCCTTCCTTTGATCTCTGGGAAGAAAGGGCTGTTTAACACACTTGTTCAGTTTCTTCAATATTTGGGAATTCTTATGGATAGCCTACACATGGGTACCCTCTAATCACTAGATTCTCCCATTCCCAGTATGGCCAGGTGGGCTCACTAGACAAGAGCCAAATGTCATCAACCTCACATAGCCCAGTCCAATGTTCCACACTGACCAGGAGATCTGTCTTGCTCAGCCTCTTACTTCCTCCTGGCAGATGTCCACAAGTCCTCCTTGGCCCCACTCACCACATTCACACACAAACCTCAGTGCCTTCCACACATTTGTTCTTCAATCCAACCGACAACCGTCTCACTCTTTCGTGGATGTCTGCAACATGAGGAGAAGTACAAGACAGAACTCTGGGTGCTGAACCTACACAAAAAAGAAAAAAATGAGTTGAATTTCTGCACATCCATGGCTCAAGGTGGTACTGCCTATGACCTGGACAACAGGTCCCCCTGCTCTGCACCCTGTGCTTTAGAGGGCTCACTCCAGTCACACTCCTCACCACAAAGCAAGAAGCTTACAGAGCCAAACTTGCTCATGTGGAAGCTGCACGTCCTCTCATAGACCCTGCTATGGGAATCTGGACCCAGGATTTTTCTGCCCAGGCATCCTTGAACCCACTTCCAAGGCTGGAATGGAATGTTGCACCAATTGTGCCTCCCAAAAGTGGATGGCACTGGTCATTTGCTCATCCCAGGCCTGAGGAGTAGCTAAGGAGCTGCTGTATTAAGGACTATGGACACAGCTCTGGAGTGTAACCTGGAGTGTCCAAACACACAGAGTGAGACCTCTCTCAGTACAAGACAGGCCTAGTGGTAGGGAGAAAAGCAGAGCAGGCAAGGTCTGGGCTCAGTTTTCCCCAAGCTGCCACATTTTATCAGAGAACTCTGAAAAACTTGAGAGTCATAAATTTGCACATAGCCCCCCAGGTCAATATAAAGGTATATTTGTCAAGGTAAGAGAACAGAACAGATTTTATATAACAGATGACTAGTTTGAGTTATAATTTTTAAATATTTAAATATATGGTTTGTGGTCCTCAATATTTAAATATATGGTTTGTGTACTCTTGTTCTAAAGACAATATTGGACAAGACCTGCTAAAATTTGTATTTGCTTAATGTTATTTTCTTCAGAAACCAACTTCTACAGGGGATCTATTTCTAATAAGTCTCAAGTTCACAATAAAACTCTTTAGGATTTCCCTAGAGCCAAAAACATTGCTCTTCAAAAGAGCATAATGGACATTTCTCAAAAGAAACATACATGCGGCCAACAAACATGAAAAAAAAAAGTTTAATATCACTGATCATTAGAGAAATGCAAGTCAAAACCGCAATGAGATACTGTCATACACCAATCAGAATGGCCATTATTAAAAGCCAAAAACAACAGATGCATGTGAGGTTGTGGAGAAAAAGGAATGCTTTTACACTGTTGGTGAGACTATAAATTAGTTCAACCATTGTGGAAGACAGTGTGGCAAGTCCTCAAAGACCTAGAGGCAGAAATACCATTAACCCAGCAATCCCATTACTGGGTAGATACTCAAAGGAATATAAATCATTCATATAAAGATTCACGCATGTGTATGTTCAGTAAAGTGCTATTCACAATAGCAAAGACATCAATCAACCTAAATGTCCATCAGTGATAGACTGGATAAAGAAAATGTGGTATATATACACCATGGAATACTATGCAGCCATAAAAAGGAATGACATCATGTCATTTGCCAGAACATGGATGGAGCTGGAAGCCATTATCCTTAGCAAATTAATGCAGCAACAGAAAGCCAAATACTGCATGTTCTCACATAAGTGGGAGTTAAATGATGAGAACACATGGACACATGGAAGGAAACAACACACAGTGGGGCCTGTTGGAAGGTGGGGAGTGGGTGGAGGGAGGGCATCAAGGGAATGCTAATGGATGCTGGGCTTAATACCTGGGTGATGGGTTGATCTGTGCAGCAAACCACCATGGCACATGTTTACCCATGTAACAAACCTGCACATCCTGCACATGTACCCCTGAACTTAAAATCTTTAGAAAAAAATTAAAAAATAAAAGTAACAGGGTGAAAAAAATAGCATGATGTCCAATAAGCACCATTTTCATCAATCCTGATATATGATGAGCCTCAGGCAATCTCCAGTACTCGATCCTGAATCGGTCACATTCTCTGCTAATCCAATCCTTGTGTCACATTCTAAGACTCCACTGATGTCAAATGCAATTGAAACCAAAATCAATTCCCATTGTGCTGTGTATCATACAAACATATATTAACAGGAATAAAATAAATAATCATGTCCACTTTCCACTCCTGCTCACTCCCATGAAGGCGCATTATGCTATTTAAAATCCTAATAAATTCCCAGTTCATTATGAAGCTCAAGGAAATGCATAAGGGAGAAATACTAAAAAGGCTAGCTGAGTGGATTTACACTAGAAAGCGCAGAAATATGCTACAGAGATGAAATGGTGAATTGGAAAGAAAGCAGGGGAATATGAGAAAAACAACTTGAGAGACAGAATTGGGGGATGGGGTCTGGGCAGAGTTGGGAGTGAGAGAGGAGGGAGATTTGGAAGCAGCTGCCACGTGTATGAGTTATTGAGAAAGACATGTTGTAGTGGATTACAGATGGCCATAAACATTGCTACTACATCTACCAAGAGGGAGAATGTCAGTCCATTCCTGCTGCTGTAACAAAGTACTTTAGACTGAGTAGTTTATAAACAACAGAAATTTATTTTCACAGTTCTGGGAGCTGGGAAGTCCAAGATCAAGATGCTGGCAGATTTAGTGTTTGGTCAAGGCCCATTTCTTATAGACAGTGTTTTCTTTTCATGGGAAGGAAGGGACAAATGTCCTCACATGGGGAAAGGTATAAAAAAGGGACCAGGGCTTTCCCTTCAACCTCTTTTATAAGAGAACTAACCCCACAAAGTACCACCTTCATAACAATCATTTTCCACAAGGGCCCACCTCTTAATACTGTCACAGTGGGTCTTAGATTCGCACATGAATTTTGGAGGGACACATTCAGACCACAGCAGAGAGTCTCCTTCAATTCCTTTAAATATGAGATAGCTTGGAGACTGGCTTTGGCCAATAGAATGCGATGGAAGTGATGCTCTGTAACTTCTGAGACTGGGCCTAAAGAGATCTGAAGGTGCCTCTTTCATGTACTTGGAGCACTGCCTCAGAACTGAGCTCCCATGCTGTGAGAAGTTCATACCTTGTTGATTAGCCATAGTAAGGAAAACTGAGACATTCTGATGGACAATCTCCGTTGTGCTCCCAGCTGACAACTACCAACCATGGGAATGAGCCATCTTGGGTGCTCCAGCCAAAGTCTACCAAAAGTCTATAGCCCCAGCCAACAACACAAGAACTGAAACCACCCAACTGATCTCATCAATCCACAGAATTGCAAGAAATAATAGCCAGTGATTGATATTTTCAGTCACTGATTTGAGGGTGGTTCACTACAGAGCAATAGATTATGAAAACATGGGTAAAGAGGATTTTAAGACATTTCACTAGGCATTATGGACATATTCTCTTTATTGTGTGTTCTGAAGAGATTATTAAAAAAATAATTTTCCTTTCAATTATTTCTGCACATCAGCTTAGCATTGAGATGAAGTGGATAAGATACATAGGTTTCTTGTGAACTATACATGTAATACCAACCAGAAGTTCTGAATAATTAGCATAAAAATCATGCTTTTCATACTCATGCAAAAAAAATCTAGATTTTCATGCTAACAATTCAAAGGAATTTTTTTTTAAATGTAGCAAAGTTAAAAAGAAAATATATTTTGGGAGAAAATCTCCAATGACTCATAAAATTTGAAATAACTAAAAATTGTCAAAATTCCATGGCTAGCTCCATTTTCCTCTCCAGAAACCACTACCCACCAACCCTTTAACTGCAAACCATGTAGAAACTAAGTATCTGCAAGTAGTATACTATCCTTAACAGAACACCCAAGTTCAGCATCTAGACCAAATATAAAGATCTGTTAACAAAACCTGGGCTCTTCAGCATGTCAGTCTCTCAAAGAACCACATGCTAACATATTTGAGAGATATTTAAAACACTCAGAGAGACATCCCATTCCAGTTGAGACGACCATCACACACTGTGGGATTCCTTCCTCTCTAACCAATCCTTTTGGCTTGGAAATACCCACAGCTGCTGTGAGTCAGTTCTCTTTAACAACAACGTGCAATGCTGCCAAGTTTTGATGAGTGGGATTGTTACTTTCTATATGTAATTTAGATTTTTGTCATATTTGCACCCTAGACTATCCTACCTACATGGTTTAAAGATATTTAACTTTAGTCATAGCAGAGCCAGATAAGCACTTAGCCACACTGTATTAATCCATTTCATGCAGCTAATAAAGATATACCCAAGACTGGGTATTTTATGAAGGAAAGAGGCTTAATTGACTCACAGTTTTTCATGGCTGGATAGGCCTCAGGATACTTACATCATGGCATAAGGGGAAGCAAACACATCCTTCTTCCCATGGCAACAGAAAGAAGTGTAGAGTGAAGCTGGGGAAGCCCCTTATAAAACCAGCACTCACTATCACAAGAACAGCATGGAGATAACCACCCCCATGATTAATTACCTTCCACTGTGTCCCACCCATGACACATGGGAATTATGGGAACTACAGTTCAAGATGAAATTTGGGTGGGGACACAGCCAAACCACATCCTTCCCACCCCTGGCCCATCCCAAATCTCATGTCATCACATTTCAAAACCAATTATGCCTTCCCAATAGGACCTAAAGTCTTAACTCATTTCAGCATTAACTCAAAAGTCAATAGTTCAATATCTCATCTGAGACAAGGCAAGTCCCTCTGCCTACGAGTCATAAAATCAAAAGCAAGTTAGTTCCTTCCTAGATGCAATGGGGGTACAAGTGTTGAGTAAATATACCCATTCCAAATAGGGGAAATAAGCCAAAACAAAGGGGCTACAAGCTCCATGCACATCCAAAATCCAGTGGGGCAGTCAAATCTTAAAGCTCTACAATCATTTCCTTTGACACCATGTCTCAAGAGGTAGGCTCCCATGACCTTGGGCAGGTCTGCCCCCATGACTTTGCAGGGGATAGCACCCTTCCTGGCATCTTTCACAGTCTGGCATTCAGTGTCTTCAGGTTTACCAGGAGCATGGTACAAGCTGTCAGTGGATCTACCATTCTGGAGTCTGGAGGATGGTGGTCCTCTTGTCACTAGGTGACTCTGTGCAAGGGCTCCAACCCCACATTTCCTTTTGCACTGCCCTAGCAGAGGTTCTCCATGAGGGCCCCTCCCCTGCAGCAAACTTCAGC